TGCTCTGGAAAAACAGTAAAACACGAAGGACCAGGCACTGGAGCCCCAACTCTGTGTCAGTGCTCTAGCAAAAGAGTATGAGAAGGAAAGGGGATTTTCTGGAAGGGAGATATGATTGTAAGGTAGGAGGAGGCACAGAAATCTTCCAAACCCATTGGGTGTGAGCTGACAGCACTGCTAGGGAGTAAGAAGTGTTGTGGATGAGCAGCTCAGCACTCCAGGAGAACTCAGCTCTCTTGCACTGGATAAGCTTGATGCAATTGTAGGCTGGAGACAGCTGGTAAGGCAAAGCCAGCTCTGTATGGAAGGCTGCTTTGTGCAATCCTTTCTTGGCTTTTCTTTGAGGTGCCAGCTGGCTGTGGCATAGACTTTATGTGCCCAGAGACCTTGGCTTGTTTTGATGCTGTGTCTGTTTTGAAGAACATTAAAAAAAAATGTTGTTTGGAGGAGAGGAGTCTGTGTTGGGAACCATTTGATTAAGTAACCCCAGGCTTCCCCAACCCTCAATTAGCACAGCAGTCATCAAGCCTCTCTGACTATCCCAGTGTGTTTTAGGTGTGTGGTGCACTCTAAACCCTGATGCTGCAAGATTTGCATCCGTGGCAAGGATACTCTGGTAGCAAACAGCTCAGCTCTTTCTGGATGTGTGTATGTATCTGTTGCAAAACCATGGGGCACTCCTCTGCCTTAAATGATTAGCAGTGTCTAGCTGATGGTTGGTATAGTACCATGACAGGCTACATTTCTAGCTAAGCAGGAAAGTACAAAGCTGGTAAAACCATGTTAGACACAGGTGCTGCAGCCTGCTGGGCTTCACCTCAGTATGTCCAGTGGCAATTTTGGACATAGGGGTGTGGCTTCAATTTTTAATATTTTTTTCTCCTGATTTTTTTTTTTTGTTTTGTACTAACCCTTTCCCACCACTTCAGAAAACTCAAAACCCTTTTTCTAGAAACCAGCACTGTCCAAAGCCAGTATTTTGATTAAAACAGGCTTCTTCTTGTGTGCTTTGCTTCAGTTGTCTGTTTTCCTGTAAATCCTCTAAAAAAAAGCCAGTTCCAGTATTGGTGTAGTTGTGTCACAGAAGGCAAATAAAAAGTCAAAATGGCCTCTGAGATGCAGTGTATGACAAGACCTCAAATATTCATGTCTTTTGTAGCAGCAAGTACTCACACAAAACTCCTCCTGACTTAGCTTTTTGAGAGAAAAAAAATAGTTGCTGCCTTTGTGTCACATAGTCCCCTCCGCCACTTCCTTGGATGCCCTGTAAAAGTTAATTCATTACTGTTTGTGAAGGACTCTGCATTTCTCTGCTACCAGATGCCACTGAGGTATCCCGTGCTTCTGTGGGGTCAGCTTGTTTGCTTTCCCTTCTGGCAGCATGCTGTGGCATGGCCTTTTTCAGGGGAGTAAAAATAATAATTAAAAAAACCTCGCCCTCCAACTACACAAAATGAGAAGCAATAAAGTGTGTAGAGGCTTACTGATACTGCCTACAAGGAAAACTCTGTTCCCAGTAGACCACTGGCCTGTGCAAGAGATTTTTTTCTCATGTCATAAACTTTGAATTTGAACTGTTGCATGAAAATGCTTTTTATGTCCTGATTTTTGTGCTCTGCCCATGGTGGGGCGGGGTTGGAACTAGATGATCTTTAAGGTCATTCCAACTCAAGCCTTTCTATGATGATTTCTATGATACAGTTTTCCTGTTAGCTTGTTACAGTGCCTTCCAGGTCCTCTTGACAGGACATGAGAAGGATCCTCATTCTGACCTTCTCCATGGAAGCGATTAAGTATCGAAACTCTCTGTTTATTTTCTTCCTGCCCCTCCTCATTCTTTCAAAGTCCTGAGTGCAAGGAAAGCCTGTTTGCTGAAGTGCGGGGTGAATGAATGCAGTTTCCGACACAGTGCTGATCTCTTCCCGAGACAGTGCTGCAAGCAAACAGCCTCCAAACGTGGGCTTCGGGAAGGCTGCCAGTTTCCATTCCCATCGGAGCTGGAGTGCAGATGGAGAGGAGGCTTTCTGCAGCCACTCCACCTTGCTCACAAGGCAGCAGTGGGTCTGCCCTGCAGTGGAAAGTCCAAAAGCCCTGAGTTTGTGTTGGGAGGGAACAGACTTCCTTAGTGTTTTGCTTTGCTGCTGCTCTCTCCTCCAGGCTGCTCTGCATGCATATGTGCCCGTGGTTACCCTCCTTGTGTGCTGGGTTGCACAAGAGCATTGGGGAGCCCTTCTGCCGTGTTTGGGGTGCTGTGCCTGTTTGGGGCGGGGGGTTCCTGTTGCTTTGCAGCGCCTGCACGGGGCAGGGCTGGCTGTCCTGTACTGTGCAGGGCGAGGCTTCCTCTTGATGTGGGTGAAGAGGTTGAGCAACACAGCCCAGAAGGCTCTGATTCAGCCTTCTCCTCACTCTTCTTGTGAATTACCGTGATGCTTCTAATTTTCTTGTCTGCAGTTTCTTCTCTTTAATTTTTTTTTCTGTAACAGAGCATTTGAAGAGTCATAGTATAGCTGTCTTTCTAACCTGCACACTTCGGGTGGACTACATGGGAGACAGAAATGGGCTGGTAGAAATTCTGGAAACTGATGTTTAATTACAGTTCTCTTCCCAGAGAGCAGAGCTACTGTGTGATTGGGGTTTCTCATGTGTGGGACTGAGCCTGTACTGGATTTGCATCAGTAACAAGCACCTGGGCTTTAATTTTCAGGGCAATGATGGTTGCTTGGTGCAACATAAAACTTTATTGTTTTGGGATGTTGGGTTCATGTGCCAAGGAATTGGTGGGGTAGTTTATTCAATAAGGGGATGGAAGGGATACTGGGTGGGGAAGGCTGGTATCCTGATGATAATGCTGTCTGTGGGGTTCAGGGAAAATGTATCTGGATAAAAATAAATTATTATCTCCCGTGATGCATTGTGTTTTGTCCTAATAAAGCTAGCTGGTCAATGGAGCACCTCCCAAATATTTCCTACTTCTGGGATGGAACTTCCAATGCTGTTTGTAATGAGTGCAGTGTGTTAGCAAAGTATAACTGTTCATTTTTATCTTCTTGTTTCCAGTTTTCCAAACTCTGTGTTTTGAGATGAAACTCAATGGAGTTTTATCTTCCTGGGAAACGGACGTGGAAAAACTCGATTATGTTTAAATGCAGTCGGAAGGGGGAATGTGTGCTGCTGCCACATGACTTCTTTTATGAAATTTTGTTTAATAAGCTGCAGCAAATTCACAGTAGAAACCAGAAGTATGGCCAGGAGAAATAAAACAGCTTCTCCTTGTTCTGTGTCAGCATCTCTGTGTGTGGCACCGGGTCAGTCTGCACTACTTCATTATTAAAGGAAAATTGTCTCCTTGGTTAAGTGGCTTTTTATCTCATATCAGTAGCTGAGTGCTTAAGTGGAGTTGCTTCTTCCAAACCTAAGATTAGGAAATATGAAGGAGTGGCACCTGAAAGGTAAAGCTTCTTTAGGATGCTCTGACTGGATGCAAAAGACCCTACCAAACAGTCCTAAAGATGGAATTTGCTTCAAAAGCTAAATTCATCATCTTATAGGTACACAGCTAATCGAATGTATGGTCATGGACCATAATACTGACTGAGCTACACAGTGAACAAGTCTGGGTTTGTTCTTCTTTCTCAGAATCTCTTGAATGGGCTGGCATGTGTACTTAATTCATTGATCAGTGGGAGGGGGACAGATGGAGGATCGAGGACCGTAGTGTGCGAGTTTAAATTACTGGAGTGTGATGCAGAAGTTTAATATTAGCACAAGGAACAGGAAAACTTTTAATTGCTCCTCTGGGAGCACACCGTGGTAGTGCTGAGAACTGAATTTTGGTCTTAATTTGTTCAGTCTTATTTTCCCACGTTGCCATCCTTGTAATATTTTCTTCTTGTGTTGTAACGTGTGAGAATACTTGGTTGCTTTCCTTAGGAGAAGCTTTGTTGGGAAGGGGCAACAAATTAACTGGCAACAAATGTGTTGGCAGTTCCCTTTTCATTTTGAACCCACAAAAATTATATTAAGTGTGGGTTCATTTGGCTGAATCGGTGATCTTGGTGATTTGCAGAGAATTCTGTTGCCAGTTGGTTGGCACGCTGGGGCAGGGAGCCAGAGCAACGGGGAGAGAGCTGTGTCCCGGATCCCGCGTATGCGTTGGCACTGTTAAACATCGTAGCTCTGGCTTGTTTTGAAATACTGTCCTATTTGCTGGTAACAGTGCCTACAGACATCTCTCTCTCTGTTGTCAAAATGATTGCAAAGGAAGATACCTCTGGGTTGAGTCTTTCCTGCTACTGGCGCGTGTGCTTGTTTTGCTCCCATGTGTCATCATTTTATGTAGAGGCATCCCTTCAAAGGGATGCAGGGAGTGTCCCTGCTCCTTATTTTGTCCCTAGCCTGGGATTTAACGAGCAATACTGAGGTAATCTGTCTCTGGCAGCCATACTCCTCAGGCAGCGATCTTATCTTGCTGTGAAAGCTGAAGAGATCACACTCTAGTCAGTGCTGGGATGGAGGAGATCTGAGGAGCTGTGAGGTGCGGCTTGAAATGACTCAAAGGGGAAAGCATCCATCCTGAGCTGGTCTCTCCATCTCGGCTGACCAGCTACTGCAAAACCCTTGTGGTGTTCTGATCTTCAGCCTGAGCAAGGTCTCTCTGCAGCACAGTGATTGTACTGCCGAGGCAGGCTGAGCTCTAGTTCTGTAATTTACCATATTGCAGTCAGCCTAGTGCTTCACTTTGTATGCTGCCCTTGTTCAGGGATTTCCTGTCATCCTCCTATTAATGTGAGGGCAGAGACATTTATCTTTCATCTCAAATGAAATTCAGGTCCTAGAGAGAGTAATTATTATTCTGTGTATTGCGCAGTTCTCTAGATGTGACAACCCAATTCCAACTGATGTGACTATTTCTTCTCTTTTTTTGAGCACTTTATGGAAACAAAAGAGCTTGTTTTAATCTGAGGTACTTCATCTTGTTTTGTTTTTTGTTCTCTCTCTAGCATTCAACGAGCTGCACTGGTGGTTCTGGAAAATTACTACAGAGATTTCGCAGTCTACAACCCAGCCTTGTTAACAGCCTCCAAATCCCGAGCCGCCAAGCACATGGCTGGCCTGAAAGTCTACAATGTTGATGGTAGGTGAGGTGAAATGTAGTCTCTGAGAATGGGTGGGATGGGGAAGGGCTGGGTTGGCTTTATGCTTTGTTATGCACACATTCTCACCTTTTTGCTTTGCCAAAGTCTTGTCTCCCGCTGGAAATCTTCCTAACAGTCCTGAGTTTGCCAGTTCCAGACAACTTTACAGATGTGTTTAGCCCACAATAAGGCTTTTGTCTTTGCCAGGTGAAATGGCCAAGTTTTACGTGGGCTTGATTGTCATGTGGCTTGATAAGCACTTTTCAGCACCACTGCTTGTTTTAGGCAGCCTCTGCTTTTTGTCACCCTTGGGTCATCTCCTTAGTTGTGATAGTACAATTAACACAACTTTAAACCTAAATGAGTTCCCCAGTCATTTATTATTCCGTTTCTACATGTAGCCTTCAGGAAAGTGAAGGAGGTTGATACTAATGTGGGAAGATGCAACGGTCTAAGCATCAGCTGCTGATGAAAGCAATGCTCTCAGTGCTTGTCAGCCTGCAGCCTTAGCACTAAATTAGCTATGCCTGACTTACCCGTGGCCATGCTCCCAAGTCATCATGATGCTAAGCAGTTCTTGGAAATTCAGAGACAGATAACAATCCCCGTTGAGCTTTGCAATTCTACAAACTGTTTTCAAACTTCGGGGCTTTAAAGAAGCCTGTGGGAGGATGGATGAATATCTGGATGCTCAAAGCAGTGAAAACTGGACTTAATCATTTGACACTCTCAAACCCTATCAGTGAAAGCCAGGCTTGATAAGCAGGAAGTGCTCAGCAACCTTTATGAAAGTGACATTCCTTGGGAAGAGCTGAAGTTGTGTAGAGGAGCTTTTATGGTGAAGAATGGCTGAAATCCTTTGCAAAATGTGGTAAAGCACATCCTTGCCCATGAATTCATTAGTATTGAAAGGCTTTGGAGCTGGAAAGAAAAAACTAAAGAGACTTAGCTGGGCAAGGTGGCTCTGCGTGCATGGTGTGGGGACTGAAATACAGACATGAGACATGATTGTTTTGCTTTCAACAATGTTTCAGTGCCTTATGGCTGTGGGGTGTTTAGTTTTGGTTTTCCTCTTTTCTTTTTCTGGTTTGTTTTTGGTTGGTTGGTTGGTGTGGGTTTTTTTTTTACTTTGGCGAGTTTCAAAGACCTAAGTGCTTCCCCAAACCTGATGCGGCACTCCTGAGTCCATAAAATTATTTGAAGGTTTAGATCCTTACAGTTAGATACTTCCGTCCTGACAGAGGAAATGGGAAGCAAGGGAAGGAGAGGGACAGGCTTGCCCATCGCGTGTCCCTTGCTGCCTGGAATGAAGCTCTTGGTTCAGTTGAATTGGAGGGGGGAAGCAAACAGACTGACTCCACATTTTTGTAGAGGTGAAATCATTCATTCCAGCTGCTCGCTCTCAGTGAGCAGCCTGGTGTGTGGTAGATGAGGGCTTCCTGATCCCACAGCTGTCTGCACACTGTTCAAACCCCACAGCCTGTGAGGCTGGCTGCGAGATGTGCCACTCTGATAACTAACTGGCTTGTCTTCTGCACTAAGGTATCTCTCTGGGAGGTGACAGGGTCTATTTTCTTGGAGCATCTGCTGCGACATTGGAGCTCCCAGGCTCAGAGGAAAATTAGCCAGTCCAATAGTGTGATAGCACCTTAGGAGCTGCTGTCTCACGAGACTTTGTTAGAAGAGAAGGAACCAGAAGCAAGCTGCAGATGTGGCTGGCACGCCTTTCCATGTGTCAAGCTTGTGAGCCTACCAGGGCCTGGAAACTCATACCTTCCCTTGTGGGGCAGTGCCGGTTGCCCAGGCTGTTCCTTGTGCAATGCCGCTGCCTTTGTGCACATGGAAATCTCAGGCTTAGAGGCATGTCCTTAAGAAGATTCCTGTCCGTTTTACGAAGCAGAGTGTAGTTCTGGCTGCAGCTTACCTTGGCAGCCTGACAGTCTCTTACACCCTTTGTGAAAAAAGACAGGCTGCCTTAATAGCATTACTAATTTGTTGACAGCTTTTGTATTTGATACTGCAGCAACCAGGAAAGAAAAACATCATGCTGTACTCTCTCTTGTACAGAGTGGGAAGGCTCACCTTCAAAACCAAGATTTTCATTGTCAGGCATAGTTAACGAGGCAAATTACAGATCTAACCCAAATTTGGGAGCAAGTGTCTCCCTTGAGTCATATCCTCCATTTCAGGGCTGTCAAGCAATATCTGAAGTGTTTAGACTCTTAAGAAGCTTTGTGTATGAGTGCTTGTCATTCTCACTGCTGAACTTCAGGCTTCTGTCTTGGAATCTGATTAGTGCTTTTTAGGACAAAAAATCAGAATTACCCTTGCGTGAGCAGAACAGTTCTGAGCGTGTCTGTGCAGTCGATTGGCTTTGAGCACTGCCAGTTGAGAGTGTGGGCTTTCAGAGCGGTTAGCCATAAAAGCAACTCCTGGTGGTTTGGAGGCAGTCCTAGGCTACTGCTTCTCTCTGGGTAGACCCACCTCTATCCTCTGTCTGTATAGAGAGGTTTGTAAACTCATCTGGAGCAACATTTTTTTCCACCCCCTGCCCAAACAGCCAGAGCTATGGGCTTCGTGGGCAAGTTGCAGAACCTACTGCTGTATTTTAGGGTCACGGTTAAGGTCTTACAGTAGACAGCTCTGTCACTTGACGGGGTATTACAGAGCAGATTGCAGTTTCCCTGTTCCTGTAGCTGTGTAGGATCTGCTAACAGCAGCAGCAGATCTAATGACAGATGCTGCTCAAAGTGCCAGGAGAAGCTACTACACTTGCAGACCCCAGCCTACCCTCCTGAGGGATTGCTGTTCTGACAGCTTCTGTCCTTCTGGAAAACCTTGTGCTTTGTCTAAAGATGACCCTCCTTCCTCTGCATCCTGTTCTTCCTCCCTGCGAGTAATTGGCTGCAGTTTGTCTTTAATTTATTCATCTCCATGTCTCATTATGTTCTTGTGTTTTGTCTTTCTCCTTTTTCCAACTTCTCACTTTTTATGCTCTCACACTGTCTTGATGCTGAAATGTGGTATGTTCCAGCTGCCCTTGCCTTCAAACTGAAAGAGTATATAATGGGGGGTAAGTTGCATCCTCAGCATGTTCACCTTGCTCTGCCTTTATGTATGTGCCGTGAGATCCTTCATCCTGACTAACTTCCCTTGTCCACGCTCCAGAGCCCCTCTCTAAGCCTGTGCCGCCTAGCAGGGTTTCTACCAGAGCTCCTGAGGACTGATGACTTTGGCTGGGAAGGCTGGAGCCACAGAGCACTTGCGAGAGATGCCCTGGGGTGCCGGTCTGTGCCAGCCCCAGTCCTGTGGCAGTAACACTGCCCTTCTGTCTCCTTTCTGCCCGTCCTTGCCCCCCGAAGGCCCAGGTAACAACGCATCGGGGCAGTCCCGTGCCATGATCGCAGCCGCCGCCCGCCGCAGGGACTCCAGTCACAACGAGCTCTACTACGAGGAGGCTGACCACGAGCGCCGAGTGAGGAAGCGCCGTGCCAGGTAAAGCCCTTCCCTTGGCGCTGCAAAGCTCAGTCGTGTGGGGCTTGCCCAGGCTGATGGGGTGTATTCCTGATCTGTGATTAAGGGCCGTAAGTCTGTCACAGCTTATGAAACCCAGATGCGTAAGGGAGGGTGACAGCTTGCAGCTGGAATTATCCAAAGGACATGCATAAAGCTGAGCTCATGTATATAAGGCAGATAAGCTAATGCAATGTCATGGATTAAGGAACAGTCCTCCGGTTCTTGACAAGTCTATCGTTACTTGCTGCAGGAAATCCCATTATTTTCGCCCGTGCCCAGGCTTGTCAGCTCAAGTAATCCAGGGGCAGGATCAGTGGAGCACTTGGTGTTGCCCATTCATGGGTGGGGAGAATATTTGTCTTTGCAGATTAATAAAAGAGGCAGTTGGACTGCTCTTTTCAATGAATTCAGGAGGAAAGACTTGACCCAGAAGCGGTTACATTTTATTTTGGAATGTGGTTATGTTTTCTGCCAGTCACGCTTAGGCTACAAGAATTGATGCTTTATTGAGGTGACCCAAGACAGTGCCTCTGTTTGCTCTAGAGCCTAATTGCAGTCTGTAGTTAGCATACCTAACAGTTTGAGGCAAGTTGCTTACAGGCAGGCACCCCTGAACCGAGCTGTGCTTGGAATGAATGTGTCATAAGTGGAAGGAACTGACTTGTTTTGTGTTTTCTTTTGGCAGTTTATATTTCATTGGGAAAGTGCTGGCACAATGTGCCCCCCTTGCCTGCTTCAGTCTGACCTGTGTTCTATATCTGCTGTCTTTTAGGCTCTCTTCCAGCCTTGAAGCCAAAAGGACTTAAACTTTCCTTTCTGTGAAGTGCAGCATCCTAACTTGGGCACATCTCCTTTGCTTCCGAGTTTGGTTAGAGCAGCTGCTTAGTCAGAGGAAAACCATCAGTCACTAGAAGGTCAGGCCAGATGTCTCAGGCCAGAAGATTAGAAACTGATTTCCACCCCCCACCTTCCTTAAGTCAAGTTAAAAAGAAGGGGCGAGGGTCAGGGCTTCTCATCTGTTCCTCAGATATAGTCTGCATGTAGTATGCTACACCTCTGCTGGTGGTGAGGCAACTGCCCCTGGCTTTAAGATGCTTTGGATATTGAGAGCAATGTGGACAGTCATTGGTGACTTGAGTGGGAATTGAGTGTGAAACAAGGCCTGTCTGGAAGGGCAAAAGAGTTTTGTTGGGTGACTCTTCCATTACCATTTTTCCCTCACTAACTGCAGCATAGCCCCTCATTTGTAAGTTAGCCCAGGACTAAGTAACGAGTGTCATAAGTCATCTGTTCCCTTTTCGTGGCGTGGTCTTGGTGTTTACTCACCTGTGCCAACACAGGAATGGTTTGCAGGGGATGTCTCTGGTTGCAGTGTTGCAAGTGAAGACGGGGGGGGGGGGGTGTTTTCTCCCTTGCTGTTCAGTAGAGGGGGGCAGGGCAGTCATTTGGCAGCACGAGTTCTGTACCCGGTTGGCATAAGAGCAGACTGCAGCTTGTGAGCACAGTGTCTCAGAGTGCTCTGTGGCCTGGGTCATGCTAGTTTGTAGCCTGTCTCCTCCTGACTCCTTGCCTGTCCCTAAGCTTCGTGCTGCAGTTCTGTGTGCTGGATCTGTTGTATTAAGATGTGCATTAAACACAAGGGCAGCTGTGTCTTGTTTGAGTCACGCAGCTGACGTTTATGCTGTGTTGGCAGAACCAAGTGCAGTGCTCAGGCTTTTAAAATCTTAATCCTGGTTTATGACCCTCAGTTGCTGGATGGCTTGGGCAGGGAATGAAAAGCAGTTGTCTACCCCTCACTGTCAGTAGAGAAGATTTTATGTAAATTCATAGCAGGCAGTGACTCAATGGCAGATGGGAATAGGAGCTTGTAAATCCTGACTCTCAGGCTCTGCCTTATCCACAGACCTATCCTACCTCTCGTTATGACTCTTACCATCCCGACTTTCCTTCTGTAGGCTTGTGGTTGCGGTAGAGGAAGCTTTCACTCACATCAAACGCCTCCAGGCAGAGGAACAGCAGAAAGCTCCAGGAGAAATGATGGACCCCCGAGAAGCAGCCCAGGCAATCTTCCCCTCCATGGCCAGGGCTCTGCAGAAGTACCTTCGCACCACCCGCCAGCAGCAGTACCACAGCATGGAGAGCATCTTGCAACACTTGTCCTTCTGCATCACCAACAACATGACACCAAAGGTAATGCTTTCTCTAACACTGGTGCAGGTAGGAGGGAGAAGGGGGTGGCACATCTGTGTGTTCACACAGAACAGAAAGTTGTCAAGGGAGGTGACTAGATGTTTTTGTAGTTGCTACCTGTGATAGAATCAGTGCACTGTAGGTTGTATCAGGTCTTAAAGGGAAGTAATATTTCCTCTGCAGCATCTTCTCTCTCTCTTTATCTGAAAATGCCTATGACATAATTGTTCTCCTATCCAGTTCAGCAAAGGGAGTACTGAAGAAGTGTTTGAGATGGTGGCCTTGAGTCACAGGAAGTTCTCCCAACAGACTCATGGTAGCTGCATGATGCAGGTGGCAGTGTGCAAAGGGGTGTTTTTTTTCTGTACCCTGCTATATTTTTGACTGCTTCTAATCACTGCATAAATCTCTGTCTCTCTGATAATGTTTCTAATTCATGGGCTGCTTGGTCAAATGTCACTTTGCTGCTTCAGGGCCAGATTGTGACTGTTGACTTGCAAACACGGGAAGGGACTGAATGATGAGGGAAATGGGTCACACGATTCCACTCTCCACATTTCCCTCTAAGAATACCCCACAGTCCTAGGAAAGGGTTACTCCTGGGTGTTCACCCAGGTCTTACTACACTAAGAGCAGAAATGCTGTCAAGAGATGGGCCTTATCTTCCCTCTGGGAGCCACCTGGGACCTTACCCAGGTAAGAGAAGGTTCTGCTGCCATGAAGATTGCAAAGGAGACTTTAAAACATGGTGTCAAACAGTGTTTCATGTTCTGCTTCTGGTTTTGCAGGCTTAGGCTGAAAACATGGAAACCTCTGCTTTCCACCTTAGGTTGGCCTGAAGGAGAGAGCCAGCTATCCTATCTCACTGTCTGGGACTGCAGTTTTGGGATGGGTTATGGGGCTGGTAGGGGAGAAATGACCTCTGCTCTACTGAACTGCTGCCAGAGGGCTGCGCTGGTGGCAGAAATCAGGGCTATAACTTTGCAAGCTTGCTGGGATGGACTGAAAGAGGATCTCCTGATGTTTTTGCCTATTGCTGGGGTCTGAAAATCTGGGAGGGACTGGGGAGAAGATGTCTTCTGAAGTGTAAAAACTGGAACAATTTTCAGCATGGCAAGCCCGTGCTCGTGGAGCCGTACTTGGGGATGGGAAGAGAGCAGAGCGAGTTGTGGGGCCGGTGCTAACGTGTGTCCCGCTCTTGGCAGGCATTCCTGGAGCGTTACCTCAACCCGGGCCCAACCCTCCAATATGACAGGGATCGCTGGTTCTCCAAGCAGTGGACGCTCGTCAGCGAGGAAGCGGTCACAAGCGGGTTGCAAGACGGCATCGTGTTTGTCCTCAAGTGCTTGGACTTCAGCCTTGTTGTTAATGTGAAAAAAATCCCCTTCATCAAACTCTCAGAAGAGTTCATAGACCCTAAATCTCATAAATTTGTCCTCCGCTTACAGTCTGAGACTTCAGTCTAAGGGATTTTGAGGGTGGGTTGTTTGGAGATTTTTTTTTTTTCAATATTGTGCTTTTGGGTTTAATTTCCCCAATGCTGACTGAAACTGGCAGATGATGGACCAGTAATATTTGACCATCTGCACTTTATTTGGAAAGGGGAGGGGGGAGTTGAGATACTTCTTTCTAGATAAGATATCTTAAGAGGCAACAGGGTGACTTGGCTCAGTTAGCTCAGCCTTGGAGACAGAACAGATTTTTTTTCTTTCCCCCTCTCTTTCCAGGCATACTGTAAATCTCACGCTCTCTTTTTCTCTGCACAATTGCAACGTCAGTATTTTTGTTGGAGTGCTGCCTTACGCCGTGTGCACGCCTGCTCTGTTGTGTCTCTTCTTTTGCTACCTGTGGCTGTTCCTGAGAGGGCGTTGCTCACCTCTCCGTTATAGAAACCTGCTGGCACAGGGGTGCAGCAGTCCCTGTTCGCTCAGGGAGGAGGGAATATCAAAGGGCGGGTGTGTGAGTACTTCTATTCTCTTTTATTCTTTTCCTCTTCTCCATGTGCCTCTTCTGTCAGTGCCAGACCTGTATGAGCATAGTGGGGTGGTTTCACTCCCTGTGAAATTACTTGTCTTAAACTGGATCAGTCCATCTTTCAGCTTTTTGAATTTTTATTACTTTTTTTTAATCAGTGCTTGTTAGTGAAATTGTTTTGTGTGGCACAGCTCCCTGTTTTCTCTCACCTGCTTCCCTCTCTTCTGCTTGTCCACATCGTTGTCGGGCACTCCCAAGGCTCCCTGTTTCTGTCCCCTTCTATCTGGCTTTCTGAATGTGTTTCTCCAGGCACTACCACTTCCTTTTGCACCTGCAAGGGCGTATTTGCACTGGGACAGGGTCAGTGAATAGCTGGCTCCTCCTCAGATAAATCACAGACCCTCCCTACATCTGACAGCCTCTTTGAGGGGAAGGGGGTGCAGGCAGGAATGTGCCCCTCCCTCTCGAGCCAGTTTCAAGTGTGTCTGGAGAAAAGACCAACAAAAGCACTTCCCTCCTTAAGGAGAGGAGCCAGGGATGGGCTGACCCCTGCCATGTTCACTTGCTTTGGAGAATTGTTGTGCTCTGGAAACACTGCAGTGAGCCCTTCCCCACCTTACACCTTCAGCTGTAGCTAAAAAATACCAAACGGTGTTCTGAATGTTGAAAATCTGCCTGCCTTTCTTGGCCTTGCTGTGCTGTGGGAGTTTCTGCTCAGTGCTGGGATCTGCTCCTGAGAGAGGAGTTTTGTTTGTAAGGCTGCCTTTGCCTACCAGTGCAGCTGTCATGTGTGAATTCAGTGTCACCTGAGTTTTATGAGGTTCTAGAAAGTTTGTTTTTAATGATGACCTAAATCGATGTCTGAAGACTGATTGCCAGCACGGGAGCATCACATTCAAGTTCAGGTAACGTAGCTGCTAGGCTGGCATCGACCTGCCTTCAGTCAGGTACCCCTGAGATCCATGTGAATGTAAATGTTCAATTCATTCTGCTCAGTCTTTTGCCATGCAAATATCCCTTATCAGGCAGGATCTGGCCTGCCCTCTGGAACTAGGGCCTTCTTCCTTATGTTAGCCAGTGCCTTTCATTGCCAGACTGCACAGTCTTCTGAGGAAGGCTGTAACAGCCCCACCTGTCCCCTTTGGCCTTTCCCTGGGCTCCTCCAGGAGCTCATGGGGCTGCCTCCATGCTCCCACCAGGGTGAGGTGACCAAACAAAGAGTGGGGCTATGCCAGTCCTGCGTGGCACAGCAGGTGTGGGCTGACTGGTGCCCACCACGAGCTGGTGGGAGGGAGCAGCCTCCTTAAGCAGGAATGCTGGGGACAGGGCAGGAGGGTCCATCCTCTTCAGCAGCAATGCAGATGCATGTCCAGCAGCCCCTGTGAATAGTCCTCTTGGGATCAAGGAAACACCCTGGGGAGAAAGAGTCTAAAGTGATGATTCCCCATCCAAGGGACCCCTGCAGTTTCCTTTGCCTTTCTTACAAGTGTGTGGTAGTCTCCTGGATCCTTTTTTTTCCCTGTAATGTGCCAGAAGTGATTGTGAAGAAACTAGATGGCATGATACGTGATGGGATTAGGCCCTTTGCCCTTAAAGGATGGGAAGTAGGTAGAGTTTTCTCTTCTCTAAAAACTCAGTGTTTGGATTTCTGTGTAGATCAACTTTCTGGTAGTCTGTATGGGGACTCCTTTATTGCCTGTGGCCTTTGCAGTGTTTTACTTTGAAAAAATAGGTGGGTTTATTCCTTTAAAAAAAAAAAAAAAAAAAGGAGAGCATATAGTATCTTACACTTGGCTCTCCTAAAGATATCTGCACCTGGCTTTTATGATGTGCATAACCAGTAGGGTGGGAGAGACTGGGAGTAGCTTGGGAGACTGTGGAGCGCTTAATGCCTGTGTGGAGGCTACTGCCTGTGGCTGAATTGGCTCATTTCTGTGAAGCCAGAACAAGAACCACCTTGCCGGGGGCTTGGGTGTGCCATGTATGTGAGAGCACCTTGTCACAGGCACATCTGCAAAACTTTCTTACTTTCCCAGGATTTCCTTCCCCTTTCCTTTTCCCTGCCCCACGAGGGGGGTTGTCTGACACTATCTGCTCAGGAAACTCACGTCTTAATTTTGTTAAATCCTTTAACACATGGAGAACCAGACAGAAGCGGTATGTGCTCGCTCTGGGTCTGCTTCCTCATCTTTGTGCTGTAGTTCCATGCTGCCTTTTCTGTCTGCTGCCAAAAAAGGACACTGTCAGTGGGGGCCAACTCCTACATTAAATACTCTTCCCTATGTCAGCAGCGTGAATGCTTTGCCTGATGACATCTGAAGGAAACGACTTGGCCTCTCAAACGATCTCCTTGGAGATGCAGCCTGCTTAGAGATGAGGACAGACTCACAGGGAATCACACAGTCACAGGGAATTGTGACTCCTGAATATTCCCTGTTCTGGTATTCTTAGTGACATTTTTTTTTAGGGACTCTTGTTCCCCTCTCCATGCAAAATCAGGGGACCACTGTCATATCTACCTCACTGGGGTGTTGTGAGGCTAAACTCAACTTGCTCTCAAGTGCTTTGAGATGCACAGATGAATCTGTGGCATCTATAGGAATTCAAACTCTTTAAAACTGTACTGAGTGGTGAGAGCAGACTGGTTTGTTTAACTGTGTTTATAGCCAGCTAATGAGTAAGAGTCGAGTCATAGGGAATGAAGCTCTGGTCCAATTCCTGCAGCCTTTGCTTCTGCCGAGCTTGCCAAGAGCTGAGCATAAATACAACTTGTAGGGTTTGTCAGCCAAGTAGAGGCTGTTTCTCCGAAAGCCTCTCCTATCCTGCGCTCTCTTGTTGCACATATTTTCCCTCCTCTCTCGCAATGTGGATAGTTTTTACCTGGCTGGGAATTGTGGGGGGATTTTTTTAGAATTCAAGTGTTTTTTTAAGACAACCCTGTTTGTGACGAAGTGGACAGTGTCCCCCTCGGAGGAGATCCTTGCACTGGACATCCTTCCCTGGAAGCTGAACCATTCAGTAGGGTGCTGTGTTGCCTAACCAGGAGTGGTGGTGCCCTACTCCTCCCTTCCATGTTGGCGTGGTTCCTGTGACTCTCAAGTATGTTGCTTGGATACTTTTAAGGCTTTGGTTTTTAGCTCTCAGATTTGTTACAGCCTAAATCCAAAGCCATGCTGAGATCTTGCAAAACCAGACGCAGCTAAGACTTTCAAGTGTTCCAGAGCAGATGGAAATGGCTGTGGGTTTCCACAAAGGCTGGCTTTCTCTTTCATGGCTAAGAAGTGAAAGATTTGGATTTCTTGCAGCTTATCAGAGCATAGGAGCATATATTAGACCCCTACTACTTTGCCAGTCTTGTAAATAGGCATGGGTAAGGGTTTTAGCACATCTGTTATCCTGTTGCCATGTGGCTTCAGCCGTCCATGTGTAGGCTCTGTGGGGCTGCCCCAGGTCTCAGACTCCTTTTCCCACTCCTGGGAGATGAGCAGACAGCACTCTCGGCAGTATAAGCGTTGTAGGACTCCCCTCCATAGTGTACCAGCCCTTGACCAAGCTTCTGTGATCAACCTGGGGAGGTTTGCTGTTAGCAGTTTTCACCCTGCAGAGGGGGGACATTGGCATCCACGCCTTCCCTGCAGGGAGGGATGCACTAGACATGAAAAGCTGGTGTGATGCAGCTTGATCACAGAGCAAAGTCACCTCCTGCTTCAGGGGCTGCCCTGGTGCCTTTAAGAGCAATGCCCCCCAAAAAGGGGTGTTGGAGAGAAAGGCAGATCTGATTTCAGCCTCTGCCAGCTATTTCTCTGACTTCTGCCTCTAAAAATTTGTTCTGTCAGCAAAGTGAGTCTCTCCAGCTTCCATCCTCACTTCTGTGCCTTTTTTTCACCCCAGAGTTCCCCAGGTGAGGCAAAACAAGTATCTTCTGGGAAAGGAGGTGCTGAGGCTGCAGTTTGGAGCTTGGGGGCAGCTCACAATAAGGCTCAAGTCTGGGGGAGATCTGAACAAATACTGTCCCTCATAGAACCTCCTAACCTTTTCCTTTGGAATGGAGATACCTGTGCAAAGCCTTGGGATATCTGCTGTTGCCAAGTATGCCAAAAGGTAAAGGGAAGGAGTTTCTGGAGCCGACCGTGCCCCACATAATTAGCTTTGAAAAGTCTTGTTGGAGTTATGCTCTCTTCCAACACTCGCTGCTGAAGAAACCGGAAAGATCCATAACTTGCTAAACATGGAAACCTATTGAAGCCAATTTCATCTTGCTTACCAAAACGTGTAAATCTGCCCTTTTTCAAAGGTAAAATGAAAGTCTTGCAGTCATTTGCAAAATTGCTGTAGTGTGGTCCCAGACTAGCTCTTCAGTTGTGCTCAGTTCTGCCCAGCCGTATTTGAGCTGTTCACGAGACAGTTGTGCAGGTGTCTGTTTTCTCATTCAGCTTGTGTGTGTGTCTTAGGTGCTTTTTCCCTTCTAGGTATGTGCATTATACACGTCTCAAGCCTCAGGCCAGGCTTGGTGGTTCAGTGTTTAAACTGTGTTAAGAAGGAATTGCTCTTGGAATTGAGCTGATTTTATAAAACAAACAAACAAAAAAGGTAACCCCCCCCAAATTTCTCTTCTAAAAGAGGTGCTTTGGGCCATGATGTCTCCTACAGGAGTGTGCATCCTCCTGCATTCAGGCTGCTGCCTCCAATAGATGATGACCAAAAGTTGCCGTTTCTGACAACTGTGACCGATGTGGATCGCTTTGGGATACTCCGGAGCCAGGTCCTCGCTGCCCCAGCGGTACAGCTGGTGTTATCCACCTGTCTGCGTCCCTCCAAGAGACTGCAGTTTTTATCCCTATAGCACATGGAAGCCCTGCAGGCAGCAGGCAGCCAGCCCTGGGTGTGCTCTGCCCAGAGAGGGAATCCTTCCTTCCCTCTGGCTGCTTCCTGGGCACCTCTCACCAGCACCTAAGGATGCTTGGGGCCATCTCCTGTGTGTGCAGTGGGGAGATGCTGTGGCTCGCTACCTGCACAGGCATAACTGTGAAGGAATCTTACACTCTTCTGTGCCTGTTTCTTTGATTCAGCATTATTGTGTCTTGGGGAAGGGGGTGGGGGTAAATGCCCTTCCCTCACCCTCCTTTATCACTGTGTAATACTTTTTCTACACACACTGTATAGTAAGAAGGGTTTTGCCAAGGTTTTCTAATTAATAGACACTAACCAGCATTTCTTTCTTTTTTTTTTTCCTCTTCTTTGCACATGTAACTTTAACTGCAATGGTACATGGTCTTTCTGTTCTTTTCTAATCGTGGACTTAAGTAAGCGAATTCCTGGTGTCTGTGACATTAATGCACTGTGGGTCTAGCCTTGTAAATTGTTCTGTTCCAAGCTGGGTTCTCTTAAGTTATAGCTGGATGGGGTTTTGTTGTTTTTTAAACTGAAACATAAAACCGTTTTACACTTTGCATATTTTGTACAGTAAAATTCTGGAAATAAACTGAAACCAGATTTGATTGTCCTACTCCTTTCTCTTATCCTTTCAGACAAAAAGCTCTTCTGGTCTTCAGGCATTCCTTAGCTGTGGCTAGGAGGGGCCCTGCAAACATGTGGTTTAGCCTTTTTGAGGCTGTCTTTTTGTCATCCTCGTCCTAGGCCTTTCTGATCTGCCGTGCCACAGTAAAATGCAAACTCATTTATCACTCCTGAAGGAAGGCTGGTAGGTGACTGCTTTGAACACCTGACATCTCAAATGATGGGGAGCAAATGCAGCTGGGAAGGGGGGGCATGATTAGAGTGGGAACAGGTTTTTCTGCCTCCTGTGTTCTCATAGTTTACACACAAATTATGAAGTGCAGAATTCACTGCCGAGTTCCTTATTTGGCTATGGTGAGGAGGAGGAGTGGCAAGAGGCAGAAAAGCCAGTGCTCCTTGTTGGTGTGGGTGCAAGACTGTGCTCTTCTAAAAAAAGGTGTAGGGATCTCTCCTCAGTAGCATCTCTGGGTGCAGCTTTCCCCACCATCAGTTTCCATCCCCTGCATGCCGAGAGCTGGCAAAGACCAAACAGCTGTGCCCAAGGAAGTGTGGGAGCAGCTTTCTTGCCTAGACATTCTTTGGTACCCTCTCTTCAAGCAAACCCCCTTTAAGATGGAGTACTTTGCCTCACAGCTGTGCCCTGCCCAGCAGTTCTTGGTGTCTTCAGCCACTGGAAAAATCCACAGGATGCTGCTGTACAGTGAAAAAGAGCGCAGCAGTTGTGTAGATAAGCAGCACACACAAACACACTTGTGGAGGGAAACAGCCACATTCTCTGCTTGGGGGGAGATGAATATATTTGGGCTACAGAGAGCTGAACTGAGGCCCAGGAGGAAGCAGGAAGGGTGGGATGGGGCTGTGTTCTGTTCTGCCTCCTGCCCTCCCTTGATCTCTGCTTTTGATCTCTCCCCCTCATCCTGCTGATGCTTTGGCAGTGCCCAGCCCTGGATTGTTTGCAGGGCAGTTCCCGGAGATGGGCAGGGAAAGGAAATGGCATTGCTGCTGCCCTGCAGAGCCTGCACTGGGGGTGCAGCCATTGCCAGTCCCCACCTGCCCCTCAGAGGAAGACCTGACTTGCTGGACTGGAGCTCTGTAGGTAAAGCCTCTGTGGGAGTTGGCCAGAGGTGTGTCATGGGAAGGTGTAAGCAGCAGGAATTTGGCATAAACAAGACACTGCACTTGTCAGCCTCGTCCAAGCCTCTTAGCTGTGTCTTTACATGTGAGTTCCATGTTCTGTTTCATTTGTGGGTTAATGGTAAATCAACATGTGACTGCTGCCGTTCATGGCACTTTCTCTCCTGCTGTGGGTTGTGGAACCTGGTGGAAGGAACAGGCTTTGCTAGAGGCATTAGTTCCCTTGGCCTTCACCCAGAGCTCAGCTGTCTGAATCATAAGGGGCTGTGGTATGTAGCTCAGCAGAAATTAAAGCTGGAGGAGCTGATCTGGTTTGGCCAAGTCTTTCGCTGAAGTTGCAAGGGCCTTTGAGATGTGATGGAGCCTGAGGTGCAACAGTGGGTTAAGTATAACAGACACAAACCTCTGACAGAAAGGGGAAGGAGGCTTTTACTGGGAAAACACCACCACTTGGAGGGACATGCTATCCTGAACCAGAGGTAAGGACCTTTTCCTGAGGGGCATACTGGACTTGAGGAAGAGATGCCTTTCCTTCAGCGCCCTTCCTGACTCTATGGGAATAGGACACTGACTGCCCAGAGACAGCACAGCAACATACCCTACAACAAGTAGGGTATTTGGTGGCTGAACTGTGGCTTAGTTCCTAAGAAGATCCCCACAAGTGATGGAACTGGGCCTAACAGCTATGGATGATCAGAGAACATCAGCTTTGGGGAATGAAATGGGGATCTGTGGG